TTCCAAGTCACAAAGAACAATTTCAAAACCATAATGAAATAAAGTTAGAATTCAATAAAAAGAGAACACTTAAAAATCCCATATTCCTGGGGGGGGGGGGGATTAAGTTACCTTTGGGCTAAAGAAGAAATGACGAGGGAAATTATGAAATATTTAGAACTGAGTCACATTGCCAAGGTTTGTGCTGAGTTACAATGTCAGGATGTGCACTAAAGCAATACAGGAGGGAAATGAAAACGTTTGGCTACATTTATGGGCAAATTAGAAGTCCTCAGAACAGAAGAGTTAAGTGTGTAACTCAAGAAGTAAAAAAGAAAAGAAAAAGAGCAATGGAGGGAAGTCACAAAAATTAGGAGGAAGTAAGTAACACATAATGGCAGGGGTGAAAAGGAAACAAACAAGAATAAAACGACCAAAACTAAAAACAGGTCGTTTGAAAATACGAAACACAAACCTCTGATAAGCGTAACTAAGCAAAAACAAAAACAAACTGTGTTCAACCGACCGTAGGCTTTCCTTGCTCAGGCCTGCCAAGTCTGGTTTCAAGATGACTGCTTCTCCTCTAAGGAAAGGGGAGCAGGAGGGGGTGGAGCCTCTGTAGGGGGTGGAGCCTACACCTGGAAAAGTTCTGCTTTGATGAATAGTGGTAAAAATGCACATTTCCACGTGCAAGGGAATCTGGGAAGGTGACCGTTTTACTTGAAATACAATGGTTTAGGAACACAATTTGAGTAAAGAGAGCAGAATGAATATTGGGGAGGCAGGCAGCAGTTTTTGGCTCCACGATTATACACGCAATGCATTGGAAAACTTGGGTAAAAAGCAAACATTTTCAGAAAAAAATGTCAAATGAATGAATAGAAAACAGTATAAACACTCATACACGAAGTTCCCTTTACACAAGAAAACTTGTTCTGCTAGCCTCCAGCACTCATGGCCGTCGGTGGTGGCGGCGAACGGGGTGGTGGGCCCCAGCTGGAACCGAGCAGTGACATCTGGTGGCTCTTCTCTCCCAGGTTGTTCTTAGATCCTTTCGGTGACAATGAACTTTCCTTAGAAAGGGCGCCCCCTGGCGGCATCCGTTCACAGCCCTCCGACCTCAGTCGCCGCAGGGTCAGTGTCTCTCCGCGAATCTGTCGCACTGACCGCACGCTTCTCACGATCCTCCAGCAGAAACCTAGAAAGCCAGTCACACCCGCTCTAAGCAAAAGCATGCGTCTGATTCTTTCCTTCCTGGAAGTATGCTCTTTTTTTCTGGGAAAAGGACGCCCAAATTTCGATGGAACTTGCCAAGAGAAATAGAAGGACTCTGTTGACGCCATCTGCTACCGGAGAAAAGGAAGGCATCATAACACGGTGACGTCAGAGGGTGTCGGGATTCCCCTGCAGGTCTCCCGTGACACACCCTCTCAGCTTTTCCCGTTGGTAATGGGGGCGGGTGGATGCCTGGTGAGATCAGACTCATTCGTAGACACCCAGAGGCCCTCGCTGTAGGCTCCCAGAAATGAACAGGTGCAGCCAGTGTTGGACGGGGAGGGAGGCCGAGGAGCAGGGGGTGAAGATCTGTGGAGCTGAGGTTATTATTGGGGCTCTGACCCCATGGGGCCCGGTATCAGTTCTAGGAAACTCAAGGGAAACACTTGTCCTGTTTCTTTCACACTAACACCAGCTCCTTCCCAGCCTGACCAAGACTAAGGCAGCATTAGGGCGGCCTCAGGAAGCAATGCCTGGGGCTGCTCTGGGCTGGGCCGGCTGTTGGTATCTGTGTTTATCACAGGCCAAGTCCCGTGCAGGTCCTTGTAGCTGGCCCCTTTCCCCAGGCCCCTCTCCTGGACACACCTCCTGTCTCTCACACAAAGCCGGCCCAGCAACTGGCACCCGATCCGTGGGTTTTTCTGTAAGTTCCAGGCTCCGAGAGCTACAGGGTCTTCAGGGAGCCCGCCTCAGCCTGAGCTGGGGCTTTGGGAAGGGGGCCAGACCGTTTGCCCAAGGGAGCCACTGGCGAGTTTTCCCAATGTGTTTGGTGCCTCCTGGTGGAACGATGCTGAACTGCTGGCGGAACCCCTTCCCCCTTCCCTCCCTTCTCATCTCAGTTTGCCCTCTCCAGCCCCATCTTACTGCCCTTCCACCCCACGTGGAGGTAGACAATGGCTTTTTGGGCCAAGAGGGTACGCGTACTTCTTGCAAAGGGCAGAGGGGATACAGGAATCCGAGGCTGCGGCCTTTGATGATTGACAGGAGCTCAGCAGGGGGGGGGGGGTAGGGAGTGGGGAGGAGTGGGAAGTTGGATGCCACCAGGAATGAGTTCCCCACACAGGTGGTGCCCCTTCCATCACAGACCCCACGCTGCAGCCGTCACGCACAGGCATGCAATTCAGCTCCCACAGATTGACCCTCTGGTCCATGCCCTCCCCGCTCGCCCTCTTCCCACCCTCCCCACCCAGGCCCTGGCTTTGAGGGCAGGCAGGTCTAGGGGCTCTCTCCCCTAGGGTTGGAGCTGGGGGCTCAATGTAGTCACACTGCACAGCACACCCAGGGCTTTGTGCCAGGTTCAGGGAAGGAAGCGGACATTCAGTGGATGCTGTGCTACTCTGCCAGGTGAGAGGGGCCGGGGCAGGGCCATGGCCGCCTTAGGGTAACCCGTCTCCTCGGGAGCAAACGCCCGGCTCCTCAAAGGAAGGCATCATGTCACCGTTGAGCGGCACAAATTTTGAAGGTCACGGAGGCCAAGGCCCCTGATTTTCAGACTCGGAAGCTGAGACCCAGGGGTAAGTGATTTGCTCAAGGGGTCACATCTTAACCTGACTCTGCAGCAGAAGACACTGCACCGAGCCGCGTCCCTGTCTCAGACCACAGGCTCCCAGGATGGAGAACTCCAGTCCAGTCCAGCTTCCTGGCTCCAAGCTACTCCCCAACCAGCTTGACAAGAGGGTGACATGGCTATGGAAAGCCTCTGGCTATTGGGAATGCCTTCTGCTCTTCTCCACGTCACAAGTGTCACCAAACAGTGATGTCTGTGGTCTCGGCGACAGTCAGTGATTGCAGGAAGGGAGCAAGCAGAATTAGGAGTGATTTTTTTTTTTTTGCTGTGTTGTCTTTAACGTTTATGATCTATGCATCCATTTTCCATCATTCTGAATTCTGCCATTTCTACAGACTTTCTCCCTCATATGGATTCAAAAATGGTAAAATTATCTATGACCTCTGATACCTCCTTCCTTAACTCTCCACCTCATTATCCAACCAAAAGCCAAGGGCTATGTTATTGATCCCACCTTGAAAACGCCTTCGCATACTGCCTTAGTCTTCTCGAGCTGAACACAACAGACATTTATTTTCTCCCAGTTCTGGAGGCGAGAAGTTCATGATCAAGGTGCTGGCAAATGCAGTTTCTGGTGAGGCCTCTCTTCCTGGCTTATAGACATCTGCCTTCTCACTGGCCCTCATGTAGCCTCCCCTCTGTGCACTTCAGGTGGGGAGTGTGTGTGTGGAGAGAATGACACACCAATCTTCACGGATTAGGGCCTCACCCTTATGACTTCATTTAACCCTAATCATTAACTAAAGGCCCTACCAAATATTGGATGTTTGGGCTTCAGTTTATGAATTTGGAGGGGACACAATTCAGTCCACAGCCCATACATGACCTTGTCATTAGATCCTCACGGGCTATTGAGATGCAGTCCCTTCCTGCCTGGACAGTCGCAATGGTCTGTCCAGAGCAGACATCCCAGCAGCCCCAGAACTCCCTAACTCAGACCCATTGCTCACAACGCAACTGGCAAAAGAGAGTCAGAAAGCTTCAGAGCCTCTTCCCTGGCTGGTGACACCTTCCCTTCCTGGGGGCATGGGATTTGCATGGTCATACCTGGGCTCAAACCATGCTCCACCCCCTAATAGTCATGACCCCGAGCAACTAAATCAGTTAATCTCCTGCACCTCCACTTCCCCTGCTGTAAAGTGAGCATGACAAGCGGTACTGTGTGCAGATGTTAGGCCCGGGGTGGTGTACTGCTGGATCCGATTTGCTAAGATTTTGTTGAGGATTTTGGCATCTATGTTCATGAGGGATATTGGCCTATAATTCTCTTTCATTGTGTTGTCTTTTTTTCCTTTAGGGTGTCCACAACCCATGTCTCCAGCCTATTTTCCACCACTCTGCGTGTGAAATCCAAAAGCCAACTCAATGAGTCGTCCCTGCCTTGCCCCTGCCTCTGATTATCGCTCGCTCCCCTGTGGGGAATAGCTTCTCCACTAATCGGAACCATTATTAACATCGAGGTGGAAAGGACTGGCTCAGACACACCTGGTTTGGAATTGTAACCTTTCTGAGCCGCAGTTACTCCACTTGTGAAGTTACTCAATGAGAGAAGCTTTGTCAAGTTCTTAGCAGGGTGTGGGAGCCCAGGTTTGTCCCTGAGCACTGACAGCTGGGTCGCCAAGTTCGCACATAAAATGCCAGCGGTGGTGTTTTCCAAAGTCTCTTGTAGAGAGCATTAGTAAGATCGTGGTCGGTGTGACCCGGAAGAAGGTTGTGGTACTGGATATAAAAGGGGAATTCCAGGCCCAACAGAGCTAACAAGTTTATTGACTACAGGCCTTTTCCAAGTCTTTAATTGCCAATGTTTATTGTAATTTTCTCAGAAGTGTCAATAATTTACGTCATTTTCCAAACCGGTTAGCCATAGAATCCTTTTATTTTTTTTAAATTCTTTATTGTTTAAAGTATTACATATGTCTCCTTTTTCCCCATTGACCTCTCCCCGGCCACAGAATCCTTTTTCAAACAAATATATCTTTATTGATTTCAGAGAGGAAGGGAGAGGGAGAGAAAGATAGAAATGTCAGCGATGAGAGAAGCGTTGATTGGCTGCCTCCTGCATGATCCGGGATTGAGCCTGCAACCCGGACGTATGCCCTGACTGGGAATCAAACTGTGACCTCCTGGTTCATAGGTTGACGCTCAACCACTGAGCCACTGTGGCCAGGCCAGAATTTTTTTTTAATTGCCCCCACCCCACCCCACCCCACTAGGATTAAGTGTTGTACAAAAGTCATTTGGGAAATAATAGTTTAAGTAAACCTGAGAATAAAAGTTAATAGCTCATTCAATATTTGCTTTCCTTTTAGCTGGAACCAACATATGTTAGAACTTGACATTTCTGATAGCCATGAGGCTGGGAGCGAAACATTTATTTAGTTTTGATTTTATGAAGTTTAGCTGACCCGCTGGCTAGTCAACAGAGTAAAAGTCACAGCTCGAAGTCGAAACATGCAAGTCCCAGTTCTTTCTTCAATGCGCAAGCCTACCCTTCATCATCTCCTTCAGGTGTCTCTGAGCACCCAGCCCTGAGCCACCGTACCTGCCCCAGACCTCATGAAGAACTCACTGTTGGAACTTCTCCTGTGACAGTTAGCTTGTCCCGTTCGTCCTGTCTTGTTCTGTTTGTAACCATGATGTTGGTTATTCACGACGGGCCTCTCAGACCACACCTGTGTTTGTGCGAATGAGGTGACTCTGAATACGATTGTCCATGCAAGAAAGATCAATCGCATGTTAGAAATTTGAGACTTCGAGCCACACAATATCCTGGCAGTCTGATTTCTGGGGAGGAGAAAGGGACTGGAAATTGAGTCACAGGCTAATGATTCAACAAATCAGGCTTGTATAAGAAGCCTCACTCAAAGCCACGGGCTCCAAAGCTTGGCGAGTCTCCCTGTTGGTAATCCTCCATCCATTGTTGCATCAGTGTGCTGACCGCAGGATGTGTTCTGACTCCACAGGGAGAGGACGGGACACCTCACACTTGGGACCTCCCAGACCGCGGCCCCTCTGCACCCCTTCTTTCAGCCGGTTCTGATTTGTGTCCTTTGGTTATCATGAAATCGTAATCCTAAGTACAGAGCGTTCCTGAACCATGTGAATGGTTCTAATGAATTATTGAACCTGAGTGGGGAGTGGGCCCCCTTCAAATCTGTAGCCAGTTAGTCAGAAGTGAGGGTGTCTGAATTGAGGGCAGTTGTATGCCCTTAACCTGTAGAGTATGGCCTAACTCCGGGGAGTTGGTGTCAGAAGTCACTGCAATTATGCTGAGTGAAAGAAGTCGGACATAGAGGAGTACATATGATAGTGTCTAAAAATGCGGACACGGTCGGCGAAAGGAGGTTTACAGTTGTTCATATGGAAAAGGACGTGCAGGCTCTGATGATCACAACTGTGAATCTACTTGTGCCCACCCCTGTATAGCGACAGAAAGTAGACCTTAAAAAGCAGTGCTGTCTAAGACCAGGTAGAGTGAGGGAGAAAGAAGGGATTGCCAAGGGGCAGGAGGAAATTTTTTTTTGGGGGGGGGTCGGTCTATATGTTCACTATGTTGATCGTGGTGTTGATTTCGGAGGTGTATATATATATATATTAAAAACTTATCAAACTGTACAATTTAAACGTGTGCAGTTTATTACATGTCAATTAATACATCTATAAAGCTAGTGTTCTGGGCCCCCCTGAGAGAGTCCGATGGCGCCCAGGAACCTGTCTTTTTGGATACGCTCCTCAGGTGACTTGGGTGGCCAGGCAGGCGTGGACCTGCTGGCGCAGCAAAAAACGCACTAAACTTGGGGTAAAGGAGATCAGGGCTCTGGTGGTGGTTTTGCCCGCGACCCACTGTGTGACTTCTCCAAGACTCCATTTTCTGGTTGTAAAATGCAGCGAACAAGTTTGCGTTATTCCTAGGGTTGCGGTGGGAGGTCTAGTGGCTGAGTGCGTTTCTGTGGGAAGCAGGCTTGCTGTGCAGAAAGGACACAGGCTTTGGAACGAGACAGGCCTGAATGTGAGCGCCGCTTCTGGCGCTGGGCTAGGCAGTGCCAGCCCCGCTCCTCCCTCACAGGACCCTGACTTTGCTTGGGGTGTAAATGTGCCCACCGGAAAACACTCCACCTCCCAGACACCTTTGCGGTTCAGGGTGGCCACGTGAGCAGACGGAGGCTATGAATTTCAGGGAAGTTTCTTGTTTTCCTGACCTAGGCATTCAATCCTCTCGCTCCCTGGAACGTGGACGAGAGGCCTGCAGTTGCGGAGCCACCGTGTAATGAGTGAACAACGTGGGAGAGAGGCCTATAAGCTGAGGATGATGAAGCAAAGGGATGAAAAGATTTGGGTCCCCGGTGGCATCGAGAAGCGGCTGTACTAGCTCTGGACTGCCTACCCCTAGACTTCTAATGTAAGACAAATGAATCCCTAATTACTAGTATTGAAGGCAGAGGTTATTTTTTGTTGGTTATTTGAACCCTTAGGAACTTTTAAAAGAACAAAGTTGCTAGAACCATGACTAACCCATTGGACATTCTGGTGTGTCCCTTTCCCCAGCTATGAGACATTTCCTGCGTTTGAGGCCCCTTCTAAACCCAATATCCTACACTCACCTGATTATAAGATAGAAGACTGGGGGCTGGTCCCTGGAATAAAGGACCATTTTCTGGGATGTGGGGAGGGTTTGCAAAAGCGCCCAACCAAGTGTGGACTACCCGTGGCACCTGAACCCTACAGAGGCCGCCGCACACTAATCAAAGCAGAGGTGAGGGGAGTGTGTACAATGCGAGTCCAAAGGACATGACATTGCCTTTGCTCTGACATAAGAATGGAAGGCAGTCCTAAGGATTCTATCCCTGGTGACACATTTGAGAGTAAGAATGAAAACTCATGAACTCCCACCCCCTCTCCCCTGGACATATTACATCTCCATCATCATCTCTTATTGGAAACTTAAGTACCAGGGTATGAGTGTGGGCACCCATGTATCAGTGGGGAGAGAGAGTTCTGGTTTTCATGACAACTCTTACCTGCCCAGGCGTGGCTTTAATAGGATCAGGCGCAGGCCCGTGAGGACCCACAGGAATGCACACCACTCATCAACGCCAGCTGCTCCCTCTGCTGCTGGAATCCTGCAGGCCCCATGGTCACCCTGGCGCTGCCGGTTTGACCCGAGCGCTCCCGCCATGGCCGGATTCAGCAGCACCGGATCCGTGCTAGTAAAGCTCTGGCAAACCTCATAGACCAAAAGGCAGTGACCACAGAGGGAACTTTGTTTTTTTAGCAAATGTTTTCTTTCCTCCATGACTTTTTACAAAATTGAGCTGCAATCCGACAAGGAGAGGAACCTGTGGGGCTTCCGCATCGACGTGCCCTCTCTCTCCTGAGGCCTGTGGAGCCCCGGGCAGGACGCGGGGACTCTGTCCTCAGCAGGCCGAGTTCTGTCCAGTCCTGTGGCTCCTTCCCAGACTGACCTTCACAAGACAGTCCCGTTCGGTCCCCTGCTCCGAGTCGCTCGTGTCACTTGCCTCCACGACCAGCAGCTTCGAGTAGCTGACTCGCGGCTCCTGGGGCAGCCTGGGCCGGACGGACAGGAAGAGGGCCAGCCAGAGCCCCAGGACGACGCAGCTGGCCTGGTAGAGCACCGCCAGGCTGAAGTGCCTCGCCACGAAGCCGCCCACGAAGCTGCCCAGGCTGGCCCCGCCCCCATAGAAGTGGCCTCGGAACATGGCACTCAGAGGTCTCTCCATTCCCGGGGTGGCCAGGTCCTCTAGGGAGGCGCCCACCGCCCACCACAGAGCCCCGTGGCTGACGGCACTCAAGACCTGCGCAGGGAGGACGGACCACCAGCTCCAGAGGAAGGAGTAGTACAGCAGCTGCCCCGAGAGGCAGCCCAGCCCCAGCCCTAGGGTTCCCAGTCTGGACAGTTTCCTAAGCAACGTGGCCCTGAACGGGTGGAGGAGAACCTCCCCCAGCAAGCCCAGGGCCACGGAGAAGCCCATCACCAGCTCGCTGCTGCCGTGGTCCTGCATGTGCCAGAACAGAAAGTTCTGGGTGGTGCTGGTGACGGCTCCGACCAGAAAGACAGTGATGGCGAGGAGGAGGAGGCGGGGGTCGCCCTCCACCAGAGACAGCGCTTTGCTGGTTTTGCAGCTGGGCTCCCGCCGCCTGCACAGGGGGACGGGGAAAACAGTGCTCACCGGCAGAGCCAGGACGCTGACCAGGGCGTAGCCGTAGAAGTACACCACCCCCCGGGGGCCGCTGGCCTTCAGGGAGCAGTCCAGCTGCTCCACCAAGGCCGCGATGCCACACACGCCCGCCGCCGTGCCCAGCAGCTTCCAGGCCCAAAGGGTTCTGTGCCGGTCGGTGGCGTCCACAACATCCAGGTACTCAAACAGGCTGTCGTCAGCCACCTGCTCCAGAGGGGCCGCCAGCAGCTCCCAGAACACCAAGGACACCAAGCAGGGAAGGAAAGTCCGCAGCAACCCTTCCGGGGACAGGCCCAGGGTCCCCGAGTCCCCCTGGGTCACGGACACGTTGGCTGGACTCGCCAGCGCTGTACCCCCAGCCAGCGAAGGGAGGGCGGTGCTGACCACCTTCAGGGCACCTTCTTCCCAGGGCGCCTCTTCCCTCCCTGCAGCGACAGGATGGAGGACTTCGGATGCGGTCCAGGCTCCTTCCCCGGAGCCCACCAAACTTCTGGGCAGATGCCCGGAAGGTTCTTGGACACTTTCCACGAGTCCTTTCCTGAAGCTGGAGGCGTGGCTGATCCCAGCACCTCTATCTGCTGGGAGGCTCGAGCTGTGCTCCTCGGCCAGGGTGACGTTCACCGCCAGTGCCCCCTCCGGTGGCGGGACTGCGGGGGTCACGCTGGGGCCGGCGTGGCAGGAGCGGGGCCCCAGGTCTGCGTCCAAAGCAGCGCCCTCCTCCTCCGGTGGCTCCGGGCCAGGAAGGCGCAGAAGGGCGCCCAGAAGGCAGCGACCAGGTGCCTGGTCCCCATCAGGACGCCCACCCAGGGCGCGGCCAGACCCAGCTGCCTCAGGTAGAGGGTCAGGAACGG